ACTCACCATAGCCAATTTCAGGCTATCAACCTTACAAACTTCATGAGTATTGAATAATTTACTCTAATCTGCTCTACTTAAGTAGTACTCAGATTTCAGCTACTTTAAGTTACAACTCAAATATGACTTAAGTTGCACTCTCCAAAAAAAATTTTTAAATCAGTAGGCACCATTTCTAAGTAATTATTGGAACGCTCCCTCTTCCTATGCTTACTATTCTTGGAATCTTCTGTCTAGAGAAGGGAGATAAAATTCCTAAGTGCTGAAACCACAAAGAAGCTATAGAAATATATGAGTGTGGGGAAGTGCTTACTAAATTAAGAATTTCAGAATGGGCCTTAAATTCCTGAGACTATGCCATTGAGCACAGATATAAACACTTTATACTTGTCTTTATTTTAAAATGAGCCAATCGTTTTTTTCTTGGTTAGGAAATAAAACATGAAACCTGAACTTGAAAGGAAAATAAGCAATTATACAGATCTTTGACATCTGCTTACAAGTTGTAATTTTTATAATTCCTTTTTGTGAAAATTACACCTTATATTCATTATTGTGTATAACGTATGTATACACACATATATATACACACACATTTCCATTTCTTTCAGACTAGTCACAAATTAGATTTGAACTGAATGTTTATACAGCCTACTGGTTGTGTCATGGAATTATAAAACTGAAAGCTTTCCCTTTTCTAACACTACGAGCAGTTCAGAATTACCAGATTAGTAAAATTATTGTGGAGAATGAAAAGTGTTGCTTCTTTAAAGCCAAATCTACCTTTATCTATTCTTCTATGTGTTAATGAAGTTGAAATACTTGATACTGCATAACCTTCTGCAGTATCTTTTGTCCTTTTCCCCCATGAGAAATCAGTTTCTTTGCATCAGAATAAGTCAAAAGTCCCTCTCTCTGTACATGCCACAAACAAGAAATATTAGTAGTATTATCAAAGAGTTCTTGCACATGAATACAGGTATATTTCTTAAATTGACATCAAAAATTGTCCTCCTAGAGACAGCACCTGCTATTTACAAAGATGTGAGCCAAAGGTCAAAATAAACTATTTCAGGACAGGTGTCCGGGCACTTTGTGTTACCCTGTATTTGTACCCTTTATCTTCAACACCCTATGAAGTGAGCAGGTGATGGTATCCTTGTTTAACTTACAGATGTATCCCCATTTAACATACAGATAAATTATGGCACAGAAAATTTATGCTTATCTTTCCAGGATCAGTCTGAAATTGAACCCAGTTTCTTAATAGCTGGTCTTGAAGCTTAAAATCAAGAGTAATAACCTAAAATATGTAATGATGTTAACTTAATATTAATGAATTACAGATTAGATTTAAACTTATTTCTTTACACTATAGATGTTTTGTTCCCTTATTTTTAGAATAGTAATATTCCTTCCCCCCTTTTTTCCTTTTGTAGAAAGCGAAATTATATTGCTGTGATTGCAGCACCTGTGTGTTATTTTTTTATTTTTATTTTTTGATTGGCTAGTTCTGTATTAAAGAGCTAAAAGTGTCCCTCATCACATGGTTTTTATTAGCTAATTTTGGCTTGAGTTGTTTTAAATTTACAACCAAAATCTGCTTACTTCAACTTAGATTTGTACTTTAAATTTTTGTTCTGAATTTCTTTGTTTACCTTCACCTTTTTATCATCCTACCCATTTCAGTTTTTTAATTTCAATGCCAGTGGCAACGTGCACTCACCATATAAAACTATAGCTTAAGTTGTCCTGTTGTTGTCAGCTGTAGAGTTTGTGTGCCACTCAATGTATATGTACTAATGACTCTTCCCTAGAGAGAGGCCTTTTATGGAATAAGTGTCTAACCTATTATAATGAGATATAGGAATTAACTACTTTGGATGATTACAATTGCAGATTCTAACAGCACTGTTTGGAACTTTAATCATCTCAATCACAAAAAGCACCTCGTTGTGGACCCAGGACTGTGGTTTAAGTGCTTAGAGTTTATTATATTTCCTTAATACATGTTTTTGAAAGTAAAAAAAAAAAAAGGGGGGGGAGTGGGGGAAGATGTATGTCCTGTAGATTGGGTTGGCTTGTTTTCATGTTGTTATTTATTAATTTTGCTACATCAAACTGGGAAACTTATAAAGATCATTTAGCTTTTAGAAGGTGATTTACCTTAGATATAATTATTTTACCAAGCTAACAGTGTTTCCTGTAGATGACCCCCCAAAAAGGTAACTTACCTAGTAAGTGATGAGCACTGTAGTTTTTTCATTTAAATTCAACCGTTAATGAGTGCTTCCCTTCACTGTGCCACCTAGACTTGAACTTTTAAAAATAATTTTAGAAAGCATTGTTTTCATTAATGAGATTTATTTGATTTATTGTAAATTTCTTAAATATATTTTTTATACACAATGAATATGTTATATCTGGATAATTTTAGTTTTGTACAGCTGTGTATTAGAGTTTTTTTCCATTTTATAAGCTTCTTTTTGTATAAGGAAGTAGAATTAGTCTGCAAAATGTATTTTAGCTAGATAATCATTTTCTTGCTTTGATGAATTTACTACATTAGAAATATCCTCCCTGCTTTAGAAATATTAACATTTGCTTTCTTTCTGCCTAATTTTTATATAAACTCTAAATATAATAAGGTAAAATATTTCATTTATAGGCCCTCTGAAAGTAGAACATTTTTAAAAGCAGGTAGGTGTCTCCACCCTACTTTTCATGAAGCGTTTTACCCATTCAAGCAGACTTTTAAAAACAGCTTGTTTTGATAGCAGACTGTTCTCCTGTGGGCCTTCAGCCTTTGCTTCCTGGCAGCACCTTTGGTGCGAAAAGAGAGTGATCAATTGGAAGACTATCAGTGCCAGCATGCATAGAGTGATAAGTTAACACACCACTGGGAATTTCTAGGGCCCACCAAGATACTTCACTTCTAATGTGCTAACAAGCTCATTTTTCTACCTCTTGCCTCTTCAGTTATTTTTTTTCTCAGAAGAGCTTAGAAGTTGAGTGCATCAGGCATAATGAAAAGCTCTGTAGGAGGGAGAAGCAATAACCCCATTTTTCCCTTTTCAGCCAAATAGAAAATTAGTTTCTGGTAATACACAAAGGCCAGTATTTTTTGTACAAGGGGCACTGCTGTGAATCAAAGGACTCTATTAACTGCAGAAAATTCGGCAGCTGTGAATCTCCCCCAATGAAAAAAGTACTTTCCAACAAGTTGTGAGATATGTGGTATTATTTAGATTGTACCATCAGTTTCATCCTCTCCATTTATAACCATATACCCCCTTTAAAAGTGTGCTATATTACTTGTTTATGTTAAGACTCAAAAATGTCTGTATTATCCTCATGTAAAATCCTTGATGCTGATCATTTTAATATGCATCTTGTCCTGTTGCTTCCCACCTCAGAAGTAAAATTCTTTTGAAGTTCATCCCCAGTATACAGAATGGAAAGTAATAGATTGCTAGGAATTGGGATTCAAGGTTATTTTCATATTTGATACATAAGATAAATTGTAATAGAAGCAGATAAATTGTAATATAAAAGCCACTTAGCAAAAGATACCACAATCAAAGTCCAAGTGCATAATGAATATAGTCTTGCCTTTAACTCTTATACTTTTTTTTTCTCTTCTTAGTAAACTTGTAAATATAATTAACTGGCCGTGGTATCTCCCATTGAATTATTTAAAATTATCTTCGTCTCAAATTATTTTTTGGGTCTTGTAGGCTTAGTCTACAATTTCTAGAATTTTAAAACTATATAATAATTAAATAGCAATTTTTAAAAATAAGGAATTTTGAGGGGAAATATTAAAGTGGACTTTGGGGAAAAATTCAGTGGAAAAAAAGAAGAACTGGTAGACAAATCTTTATTATCCTTATTTAAATGTCTTATGTAAAGCCTGTCAGCATAGCACACTGAGTACCACAGGGAAACTTTTAAAAGTTTTAAAAGAAAGGTTAACTGATTTCTCAGTTCAGGAACTATACGACATGAAGTCAGCATGTGAGTTTTTCCTGATAATTGTATGTTGCTGCCTGCTGCTCTACATTTTGACAGCCATTTCCATAGTTGCTTTCGTGAACAACAGAAATATTCTCTCTCTTTCTCGCCCTCTCTGTGCTAACAGCACAATCAGGCCTGCTGAAACAGGAAGCCTGGAGTGGGTTGTTCAAAAGCAACAACACTTCAAGGTACTGGTTGCTTGTCAATAATATCAGAGAAGAAAATGTGGTGAAAGGGAACTACAGTATTTTTCCGTCAGTGTCAGTGCCCTGGAGATGCTTTGTTAGACAGTATTTAGGAGTCCTGTGGACTCTTTGCAAATATTCCTGCTTGTTTCAGTGTTATAATTGACTAGGTATTTTTTCCCAGCATACAGATTCAGCTATGTATTTATCTTAACCACATGGAGTTATTCGAGGATTACAGCAACAGTAGTCTTCCATTCAAAATGAGAACAATTGTTGAGAAAACGCAGGGATTTTAGAAAAAGAAGAAGATATGTAGGAATTTTTCACAATAAATCTTTACAAATGAAAAACAGAATTTTGGACATAGTATCTTAAGCAACATTACAATGTTTATTGCGTGGCTTTTGAGAGTAAATCTGCAGATGTGATTAATAAGATAAGATGAGCCTAGGCTGATAGAAATTTCAGCCTAGACTCCTGATAGAAATTGAATCCTTTCTCAAGTAAACTGTTAATTTCCTTCATTTCAGCAGTTTAGTATTATTGTAATTATTATCTAATAAATGTCTCCTTGTTAAGCTGTCATTTATAGTGGGATCATGAAGAGTAAATGTACATTAAAAACTGTATTTTTGCACTTCAAAAAGCCATACTGTTAATGATACATAAGAAATATTAGTGAATAATTCTATTTATTAAGAAGTAATGGCTTAGCAATCATAGCAGTCCTTTTTGATAAGATTTTTTTTCCAGTATAAGCTGCACTTAAGTTTATCCTTAACCAAAGGAAATCAGCTATGAGGAGAGAGCACGGTACCTGCAAACAATTGTCCAGCACCACTTAGAACCAACAACATTTGAAGATTTTGCAGCACAGGTTTTTTCTCCAGCTCCCTACCACCATTTACCATCTGATGCCGGTAAGATTAAAAGCAAGTATTAGTTACTTGTTACTGGAACTTGAAATGCAGTACCCTTTTGTTCTAAAAACTTGCTTGAAAAAAATTCTAATCATTGAAATATGAATTTTGTATCACTATTTAATATTTGAATTTGGCCTATAAATTTGATTTATGGTTTCTTTTACCTAAATGCAGTTCCTTAAAAGGTCAACAAACTTCATAAAAGTACATGTACCACATTTTATATGAGCTAATATTCAATGACTCTTGCATCTTCTGGAATCATTTCTGAAGTATCTGCAAAAGAAATACAAGTTAAGCATGCACTCTGAACTTTAGAGGATCAAATTTTATGGCCAAAAATATCACCCTATCATCTCTGATTTTACAGATAAAGCTAAAATAACTGGTCTAGATTTAGAAGTATTTGATATTGTAATTCATGTTATAATAATTAAAGATTGTAAGAGGGTACTGCATTTTACGATAATTTTGAAGAAATCAGTAAGAAAATAAATGACTCGTGGCCTTCCTATTCTGTAATATCTTGCACTCCTTATGATTGTTTCATTTATTTTCCCTCTTTAGATCATTAAATATCAGTTCTGTTTATCTGAAGGTAAGACAAAGTGTCAACCAAAACACCCTCTGTTCTTCTCCCATTTCCTTTTTTCAAAATTAGCAAGCTCTAAGCTTGTAACTTAAACAATAAATAAACTTAACACTGTCCAGTTCATACTAAACATTTCAGAAATTGTCACTAAATTTTTTCCAGTATTATACTGACTAACCCAGGTCTGCATGAAACACTAACATGGTTTGGGGATAAAAATAACTAATAATAGAATCCCTTGGTTGAAATTAGTTACACCTTGTTATATTGACCTTTTTTTTTTCTGTTTCTCAGCATGAAAAAGTAGTACTATTGAACTGAAGTAGTGTGTCTTTGTATTTTGTGATGTGTTGCATTGTTATGGGATATCCTAACTCATCAAATGATAACTCTCTGTGTGCCTTGCACTTCACTAGGCACCTGAAATACAAAGATGACTGTTGTAATGGTATTCAAGGAAAGCAGGAAAAGAGAACATAATATGCTTGAAGTTTATCATAATAAACCTTCAAATTCTCTTTATATTAAATAAGTTTTCTTTATATTAAATAAATTCAAAAGGCACAACACTTCTAGCCTAATTTATTTGGAAAAAAGTTACTGTAATTCTCAATTGAGATTTAGTTAGTGAAATTAAAGCTTCCATTCCTGTCATCATTAAATTGCCATTAGAAAAATAATTTTACAAAAAAATTTAGATCCCTTTCAGGTAGTATAAAAGACCTATAGCAAAGAGAAAATCATATTAGACCAGGTTGAATCCTTTGAAAGAGATAAAAAGTCTAAGATTCACTTTAATGGATTGACACTTTTCAAAATTACTCAGTTTGGCATTAAAAAAGATGGTAAAAGAGAAATATTAAAAATTAATGAACAGCAAAATAACTAAGTATATCTGGCAGTTTTATTGTTTAATAATGGAGAATGTCTGATAAAATGTCAGACTATATTAAAAGAGATATAAATAACACTTGTGTATCATATAGTCAAGCTATAAATTTCACAAGTGAAAAATATTGATAATAGAACCACACTTGGGCTAACTTTCCCCCTTAAATTGATAAAGACTGTTCAGTTCTCATTTGTCGTCGTTTACCAGCTGTACTCTTTCGTATTTGTCATCTTAATGTTCTCCCCATATTTTGCATGTTATCCTGCACATTTGGCCAGGTATTACGGAAGTGAGTAGTGTTCTCACTTCTGAGACATTAAAGGATGCTACAGCAGCCAAGTCAAGGTTCTGTTGGCTTCATTTTTAATGTGTCTTACAAAATTATTGTGTAAGTTGTTTAAAATAACACTTATGATCGTCTAAATAGTAGTAAAAATGTGAATTTCAACATGAACCTAATATTATGGTACAAATTTTTTTCAGTCAATTTTTAAGAGTTGTCACTGCATTTAAGAACCATTCTCTAATTTTAATATGCACTCTAATTTTCAAAAGGATGTTTTTGCTTGTAAATAACTTGTGCCAGTATTACTGAATACATTTCTATATAAGTTTTTGCAGACTTTAATAGTTATGACAGAAATTTTTATCAGAGTGGTTCTCAGTTCAACACAAAATAAAAATGAAATATTTATTCTTACAGTAGCAAAAACATAGAATCTGAAAAATAATTTTTTTCCAGTTATCTCAAATCTAAATTTTTCTGTCATAAATCCCATACATAGAGAGCTCCCTTTAAAGTTATATGTCAGAGTGGACAGAGAAGACATAAAATGAGCTGCATAATAGCAGTTTGGACCTGACTGCTGGTTTGCAAAAATGACATAATAGTGTAAAGTTTTTAATCTTTTTTCTAGCATAAGTATAAAATGTGTTCACCACATTGAGGAAATGGATTCATAATTGCAATTGAAAATCAACTTTAGATATCCTGTGCACACCCTGTGTATATAAAATAGTAGTAATCAATACTAATGTAGTCATTTGAAATTAAGTTTTAAAGAAATGCCAGAATGGTGATTATATTCTGTCTAACCAACCCTGTAACATAATTATATTCAGTGGAATAGTATAGAAAAATAATATTTTTCTAAGATTTCTTAATTTGGTTCAAGATTATCTAAAACCCACTTTCTGGTTAGCGGTAACGTGCATATCAACTGTGGTGACATTTAAATCCGAGAAAACATTTTTCCGTGTTACTTTCAGTATTATTAAAATAGATATGAAAGATTTTGGTGCATCATAGTTGATCCATAAATTTCATAACTGTATTTTCTCAAAATGTACTGTCTGTGGCAGTAGACTGATACTTAAGGGAAATTATTTTTATCCCTAAGGTCATTGAGGGAAATATCGTGATGTCACACTTTGTTGATCTTTCATAACTACGTTAAAATATTATTAGATTTTTCTTGTCTTTTATTTTTAAAAAATTACAGGAAAAAATCCCTTTATCTTTGTCAGGCGTGTGTGTGGAAAATATCAAAAGTTTTTAGTGACTTCTTAAAGTTTTTTCATATTTACAAACACCTCTCCTTTAATTACAAACTTTAAAATGAAATTACTGCTCTACTTGGCCAGATTACACTGTTTGTTCAATATGTACTTGTGTCTCCCAATGTTACATTGTCTTTTCAACGTCATCTTTTTTTATTTTGTAATAAGAGAAATTCTAGAATGTCAACAAGAAACAGGATCCTGTTTTGCTGAAAGTGTATAGTAAATATTAATTGGTTTAACTTTCTCAATTTCAACATTAAAAATATACTCATAATTTTTTGGAGTATTATGTCTTTACGTTACAGATTTTAGCTGTTTAACAACTAAAAAGGGTTGATAGGTGTTCCTCTCTGTCTTCATATATACATAGATATACATTCACAAACATATATCTATACATACATAACACTTTTTATAATTACTTTTGGAGAATATAGGCGTTCCTCTTTAAAGGAATATTATAAAATTAATAAAATTCAAATATAATTTTTATGACACCAAATTCAGAGATAATCCACAGCGACTATGAAAACCTAGAGTAGTATGTAGTCTGCCTTCTAACCTCAGTTGTGCTGTTAATTTGCAAAATCTATCTTCCCATATGTAGATAGGATGGGATTTATGATGGTCAGATCTATTTCTTTGAATCTTTGAGTGGGATGGATCATCAAAATTTAGCCATTGCTTTAGATAACCTCTTTTAGCTCAATGTCCTTCTTTAAAAGTTATTTAAACTACTCAGGCTTTGAAATGTTCTGAAATAAAATATTTTAGCTCCTTAGAAGATAGTTATTTTATAAGTATCTTAAATATTAGTAAGTGCCAACAGAAGAATTAGTTTCCTGCAATATATAACATAAGCTATAAATTTGTTTATTTAATAATTTGGTTTTTGTTTTCATTTTTGTTTTTTTGAGACAGAGGCTGGAGTGCAGTGGCACAGTCTTGGCTCACTGCAACCTCCGCTTCCCGGGTTCAAGCAATTCTCCTGCCTCAGCCTCCCAAGTAGCTGGGATTACAGGCACACGCCACCACTCCTGGCTGATTTTTTTATTTTTGGTAAAGACGAGATTTCACCATGTTGGCCAGGCTGGTCTCAAACTCCTGACCTCAGGTGATCCACCCACCTCAGCCTCCCAAATTGCTGGGATTACAGGTGTGAGCCACCATGCCTGGCTAGTTAATGTTTTTAAAAACAGATTCCTACTCATATTAATTTATCATTAGATTAGCCTGAAATTATAGGCAGCCATATATGTTCTGTTTGATACTTTGAACTTGGAAATTTGGCTTATATGTTGTTGACCAAGAGGCAAGTAATAATCTTAAATAGGACCCACTAACCTTTTGTGATGACTGCTGGTTCAGTTTCCACATAGAACATTCATTCAGATGTGAAATTTTTGTAATGAAAATAATAAAATAATAATTGTGCTATTACTGAGTGCCAGACACTGTGCTCGGTACTGTACATACATTCTCTCATTTAATCTTCATTGCAGTTCTATGAAATTTAAAAGAAAAAAATGCTTACCCAGAGTCACCTGGTACTTTGTCAAGCTAGTATTTCAACTTAGACTGATGTGACTTCAGAGGGCATGATCTCAACTATTACAGTTACCCAGTTAGTCTAAATATTTTCATCCCCTTCCTGCTGTTGATTGAGAGAAAGAGATATTGCCCAATAACCTGTCATATTTACAAATTATAAATTGTTAAAGATTTTTATTTTAAGGGTTTTATTTTCCCACCCATTGAAAAATCTTTTTTTTTTCCATGTATCTTCAAGGTTGCCAGGGTGGAAGTATGAGCTTTGGAATCAAACTAATCTGGATTTAATTCCTAGTTCTGCCAGTTGTTATCCATATAAATGCAAATTAATCAACTCTTCCAATTTTTTCATTTCCAAAATTTTCATTTACAAATTTTGTCATTTGTAAAATATGACAAGCTTGACATGATTTATTCTAAATCTAAAATACTAGTAGTTCTTGAATGTTATCTTAAAATGAAACCACATGTTTCCCTTTATTTCTCTACTATTTTAAATTGTTATTTCCCAGCCAGGCATGGTGGCTCACGCTTGTAATCCCAACATTTTGGGAGGCTGAGGCAGGCAGATCACTTGAGGCCAAGGGTTCAAGACCAGCCTGGCCAACATGGCAAAACCCTTCTCTACTAAAAACATAAAAATTAACTGGGCATGGTGGCACACGCCTGTAATCCCAGCTACTCAGGAGGCTAAGGCAGGAGAATCACTTGAACCCAGGAGGCAGAGACTACAGTGAGCTGAAATCATGCCACTGCACTCCAGCCCGGGTAACAGAGTGAAACTCCCTCTCAAAATAGATAAATAAAAATAAAAAAGAAATTGTGTTATTTCCTTTACGATATTCAGTGCCATCCATGCGAGTCTTAATAACTTATCAACTCCTTTAAAAATATTAAAAGCAAGGTTATTTGGGTAGCCTTTAACCTTTACTATAAGGTTGTATTTTATAGAACTATCAACATAAGAGAGAATAAATTTCCCTCAAACTAAATTTAATGGTGTGTTGTCCTTTTCACATTTGAACAATAATATTTTGTATAGGTGGTCATTTTCTTCAAAAATATTCCTCATTTCTATCCCTTTCTTTCTAATCCTCATCTGTTCTGATTCAAAATGTATCAGCTTTTATTTTTCTGTTTAATAGCCTTATTATGTAGCTATACTTACTGTGCACCTACTATGTGCCAGTATCTTTACATATGTAATCTTAATCCCTGTGACGACTTGACAAAATAGCAAGTATTATCTCCATTTTACGAATACAAAAATGTCTCAAGTCAGTTTGCCCAAGATCAAACAGATGGTAAAGTGACAGAGTCAGCATTTAATCTAGGACTGTCTAACCTATGCCCATGTTCTTTCTAATACATCACATTGTTGCTGGAGTTCAGTATTAACTGAAATTGCTTTTAAAGATACAATATTTTATAGGGCTATATTTGCCCAATAATTAGCAGCTTTAAAGCAGTCATACCTGTCATCAAACAGGACAAACGAAACCACAATTAAAAATGATCTTTCAAGCTCCCTCTTATAATCCCTATAGATCCCAAAAGTCATATTTATTATGTTAATTGTAATAATAGTTTATTGTAATCAATGTGCAATATATTAATCAATTTATCTCATCAGATTACACAGTCTGTGTGAGCACTGTAAGAATGTTAGTAACAGATACAGTATGCACAAACATAGGAGCTCATGTGTACTCTTAAAACCTTATCCTTGAGGATATATTAATAATAGAAATAAGTCAGAATTCTTTATGACTCAGGTAGTATAAATCAACAGGTAGACTATGATGTGAAATGAAATGTAGGTTGTTACTACATTTTTTACATCTAAAATTGAAGTCTTTCCATCGTAAATTATTTATGGAGTTTGGGAATGTTGAATATATACCACAAATATAATTTGCTAAATTGTTAGGAGGTACTGATAACTATACACCACATACACTAAAAATCCTAATTTGATTCAATTGAGTGAAGGAAGATTTCACTTTGAAGGCAGTGAGGAAGACATGGAAGAATTGTCTTTGAGGAAAACATTCTTTGAGTTTGTCATAATGTAGAGCAGTGCTCTCTCTGATAAAACCTTCTATGGTGATGGAAATGTTCTATATCTGCACTGTCTAATGTGGAAGCTGCTAACTACATGTGGCTGTTGAACACTTGAAATGTGGCTAGTGTACTGAGGAACTGAATTTTTATTTAATTCATTTTAATTCAATAAATTTAAACTTAATGTGTCTGTGGCTACCATATTGGACAATGCAGCTCTAGAGATTTTATGTCTGAGTGATTAGGATAACATGCCACCAGTACAGTGAACACTTTAAGAGGTAGATATTTACAGAATCTCTCATAGACCTTTTTTCTTCTTTTCTTTTTTCCTATTTGAACTTGTTTTGTTAGTTGGTAAGTATAACATTTGAATTTACAAAGCATTGTCATTGTGAACCATCATCCTAACTCATTGCATGCCCAATTATATTTCATAATAAACACCTTTATTCCTCTCTCTCTGCTCCTCGGTTAACACCTATAAAATTCTGCACTTGTGTCTCTCATATCTGTTATCTATCTTCTCTTTTGCTCTCTCACTTCTGCTTGCTACTCCATTTCTTCATTCACAACAAAGAAAGAAATGCAGTGATAGTTCTCTTCCTCCCAAAACCTCCGCTAGAAAACATTGGCCATCTCAAGGTAAACAGCAGTGGGAGGGCCTCTCATGATGGCCGGGAATGATACGCATTACCAGAAAAGCATGAGCTACTACTGCTCTTCACTTTCCTTCTGCCATCCATCTGCCGTGCTTCCCTAAAGGGGGCCATGGATTCATATTCTCCCATAAATTTTCCAGTATGGGTCTGCTATGAACCAATTCAGATCTTCAGGAAGAGTAAAGGTGAACAGAAATATGTTTCCTTCTCCTTGTATTTTGAAGGCCAGTCTTATTTCAATTAGAAAATAATGCTGGAAAAGTTACTTTGAGAAGAAGGGCAATTGACCTAGATTATGAGTGACAGAATATTTTTCCTTGGAAACATATTTTTTCTTAAGTATAACTCTAACATTTGGTCTTAAGAACATTTTGAAGGCCGGGTATGGTGGCTCATGCTTGTAATCCCAGCACTTTGGGAGGCCCAGGCAGGCAGATCATGAGGTCAGGAGATTGAGACCATCCTGGCCAACATGGTGAAACCCCATCTCTACTAAAATACAAAAAAATTAGCCGGGCGTGGTGGTCCACACCTATAGTCCCAGCTACTCAGGAGGCTGAGGCAGGGGAATCACTTGACCCTGGGAGGCGGAGATTGCAGTGAGCCCTTAGATTGCACCACTGCACTGCAGTCTGGCAACAGAGTGAGACTCCCATCTTAACAAAAAAAAAAAAAAAAAAAAATTGAAGTATTCTACAAAGACATATTCTCAATTGCTTAAGACATCTCAATAGGATCTTCACCCGTTATTGAACTTTTTGTTTTTCTTTATAAACATCAGTAACTTCAGTTTAAGCACAAACATTTCATATATATGAAAGTGCTAGCCTATTTCCTAGTTTGAAGTATCAATGAGGTGCTACATTTGCTAACAAATATGCCAAAAGTCTCCCTGTAAAGTAAGGACATGTATGTATACAGTTAAACTTGCAACCTGTGTGGTGTTTTTGTTTGTAAAACACATAAAGAAAATTTTCATGTACTTAAGACCCATAAAATCTGGATTAAAATGCCTTAAAATATCCAGAATTTCTTGTTCTTACTCTGTTTTCAGATTTTTTTTTTCTGAAGGACTTTTATTTTTAATGTGATTTTAATCAATTACTCATTTTGTTTAGGAAATATTTGAGAGCCTACAATGTGCAAGGTTCTGTAGTATTGCTGCATATTAGAGAATAATAATTTATAGAAATAAAGTACAGAGATGAAAAACTACTTTATAAATGACACAAAGAACTTTCCTATTTGATTTTGTTTTACTTCTAAAATTGTGTATCTACTAATTCTACTGGTTACCTGCTTGCTTATGATTGAATAAGATACCTGCAAAAGTTTTTAAGTTAATGAAAACAAAAGCATTGTTTATCTCTTTTACATTAAGACATCTTGGGGGAGTCAGTTTGCCTTTTTTTAACTGACATTCAGATGAGAATTCTTGTCCTCCCCTCATACACAAATTTATCTTGCTCCTTCTTAAAGCCGTATTTAAATACCTAGCATGTATATGATCTTATATTGCTGAGTTCCTTTTTTTGTTTTGTTTTGTTTATAAGGGCATCTAGTGAAACTGACATCCGTTTTGAAACCCGTGGTTCCAAAAGTGTTTGGAACTGTTTGGTGCTGTTTTTCAAGTTTGAGTAGTGAAGGCGCTTTTCTTGGTTGTACCCTGAATCCTAGAGATAGGAATTGGTCCTTCTCACCTGCTTCTTGACCCCTTCCCTGCATGCTAATGGTGCTTTGGATCCTTGTTCTTTCTGGCTCAAAGATTTTGCTTCCCACTGCTTTTTCCAGGGTTCTAGCCCTGGGAATGATGATTGGCGCTTTCTTGCTAATATAATGACATGAGCCAGCAGATTGCTGGGTTTTAAATACATTAGTAGACTATTGTAACAAGCAAGTTTGGGGCTTGCTTTTTCCCTCAAAAGACCTTATTAAGGGATGGGATCCTTGCTGCAGATTAGTAGCAGAAAGATTACTTCTCAGGGGATGAGAGGCTGGATAACTGTAGTAATGCTCTTGCTGTTTCCTACAGGCTCCTACCCAGAGATTCTACCCAGTGAAACTCCCACAGCAACGCAGGTAGATGGGGCTGACCTGGCCTCTCCAATGTCTCCTCGAACTAGCAAAAGCCGCATGTCCATGAAGTTGCGTCGTTCCTCTGGCTCAGCCAATAAATCCTAAGGAGACAGCCCAACAGTGATCAGCAGTAGCCACCTTAGCACGAACATAGGGTTAACCCTTTCAGTCCTTTGTGTCTGCCATAACATGCATGTTTCTTCCTGTACATTTATTTGAGAAAACACTGGATTTAAATAATTTTAAATAATTTGTAGCTTAATATTAAAGATTTGGGTTATTTATTGTTTCATTTTTTTCCCACAGTCCAAGCTGCCATATTTTGAGGGCAGGGGGGAGTTTTATTCTACACCCTTTACCTTCCTAGATAATTATGTCTAAGTAGTTTTATCTTTAATTTCATGGTTAACTTTGAGCCAAAATACAATTGGACAACTAGTCTCATTATTTATTGTGCCCCATTGCAACTTTATGGTTCAATAAATATATAATTTTTTACAAATGTAAAATTTTAAATTTAAGCATTTGTAAAGTTACAGCAAAAGATGTACCTGTTAATACACAGAATGTGTACAGATTATTTATGTTATGACAATAAAACACTCAAAATAAATGGTCTTTAGCATCTCAAATTCCAACTGAAATCATTTTAGTGTTAACTTTTCTTCCCAAAGCAATGTCTCATTTCTTGGCTGTGCAGGTGATGCCATGTTATATCCAATAACTAGAAAAATCACTGTGCTGAACTTTGATTTATGTTTAGCTTCCAAGTATTTTTCTAATGTTTTGCATTTCAAGTGGTATCACTGTTAAATGCCATTTGTTTTCAGATTGTGGCCTTTTATTATTGGCTGCTAGATCCTGGTGTATCTATGTTCTTTTTTAAGCACCAAAAAGAAGATAGGGAAGAAAAGAAGGAAAATTTTCTGATGTAAGTATGTTGTTCAAATTATGAGTATTATTTTTAAAAAAGGAAAAAGGAACGTGACCCAGGAGTCTAAGTTAAATCTAATATTGTTAATACTGAACTTGCAGGTGCAGGTTGGTATACATTCCACCCTCTAGAAGTATTTTCTTACAGTAGATAAGCTGCTCACATTTTATTTTGAATGGGCATCTCCTGAGGAAATGTAGCATGACATTGGTACTAACTGCATGTGTAAATACATCATACTGGCAAACCATAAAATATAAATTATGTATCATCATTCATGTAGTATCTATAATTTGTAACAGTGGGGGAAAAAGGTGACATGGTATTTAATAATACAATAAAAATATTCTTATCACTTCCTATCCATGAGTATTGATGTGTCTTCTATGTTTCATATATTTTCAATAAGTAGGGCTATATGAAGTGAGGAGATTTAAAGCATGAACCTAGATTATCTTAGCTAATCATGAAAAATGAACTTGAATTCCCTTTTCAAGATACATTCCAACTTATTTCTCAGTGATCCTACCACAGTCATTAAAAACACAGGAAATTTTACATCTTCATAAAGGCTGGCCAGAAACTTCACCCAATGCGGTTGGTTAGATTGTTAGTTTATCTCAGCTTCATGTTTTTGTTTTTTGAGACGGAGTCGTGCTCTGTCACCCAGGCTGGAGTGCAGTGGAGTGATCTCGGTTCACTGCAACCTCCACCTCCCAAGTTCAAGCAGTTCTTCTACCTCAGCCTCCCGAATAGCTGGAACTATAGGCGTGTGCCACAATGCCTAGCTAATTTTTTGTTTTTTGTTTTTTGGTTTTTTTAGTAGAAATGGGGTTTCACTGTGTTAGCCAGGACGGCCTCAATCTCCTGACCTCGTGATCCGACCGCCTCGGCCTCCCAAAGTGCTGGGATTACAGCTTCATGTTTTTTTGATTCTTAAATTTTACTTTGTTTTATAATATACTTTCAGCAATAAAAGTTTGTACTGACAAGTTTTCTAAGACAACCTTTCAGAACTTCTGTGCACTCAATTTTTTGTTTTCTTACAAATGAAAACTAAAAGTCCTATGTAAGCTGATGTAGAAGATAAACAAATGGATAGAGTCCTTGGGAAGAAGATTGAACAATATAAACAATTTCCTACAGCCAAGGTGAAGAATTACAAAAAGGAAAATCAGAGTAACTGCATACATGTTTCTAAAGTGCTATAAAAAAATTAATGGATTGATGATACATAACAATATGGAGTAAAAATACAAACCTGAAATAGTGAAATTAATTAGCACCATTAAAATACTTTTTTTCATCTTCAGGTAACACTGTTCACTAGTTTGAAATATATATACATACTTAAAATATATTTTCTGTCGACATTTCTTGGGGGGATGTCTTTTTTAGATTTAAAGACTAGTGCATATTCCTTGCCTTTTGGAGCTCAGTCTTTGCAGCCATACTTCAAAGGAAGATTTTTCATTGCATTCCTGCACCATTACATTCATTTGCAAAATATTTCCGTCTTTGTATTCTGTCCAAATGGGTCACTAACATTCTAAAACAAGATAGCGACATTGGGTAGATAAGAAATGTGACTTTGAAAATAGGCTGTGTTCAACAGGATTCTTAAGACAAACACAGAACACAACAAAAGCACAGACTATGTACATTTATTTGGTGGTAAGCGTCTTACAAATATGGGCTTTCTGTCAAGCAGTGCTCAGCCAGTGTCCCAACTCTGGCTATTAAGGAATTAGTACAGAATGTACACTGAAATGGTTTTTTTAAAAAAATCGAAAGTTGCTGCTGAAAAGAAAATACTGAATATTGAGCAAATTGCCATTCAGTTCCCTAGTGGATTATAGGTGTTAACATCTTCCTTAAGCTGTACATATTTTCATAATGAATACACAGTATGAGATTTACAGCAGAAGCATTAAACAGTTTGGGTGAAACCCCATTAAAACAGTCAAACTTGAGGAAACGACTTCTGTATTTCCAAAAAGCCATTTAAAGAAAGGTTTGAAGTAGCTCTTCCTGAATACTGCACACAAAATAGCTGAGAATTTTAGGGGGTGTCTCAACTCCAGTAAAGTAGCATCCTCCCCACCTCCAAACACCAACTTAAGAATGGACATGTACATATAATTGGGCAAAGGAAAGTTTACGGGGGAGATCCCCACGCACCCCAAAAGCAGCAAACATCCTCTTACATTTTCTGCCAGGGCTTGAATCTCCTTAAGTTTGGCACCAGTCACATAACTTTTAATTCACAGATACAGTGCAAAATATCTGATCCTATTGAGACAGAAGCTGCATAGGCGCCTGTGATGACAAGAGGAAAAAAACATTGGTGACTCCCAAAGGGTAGCCAGAACCCTTTGTGGACACTGAGACATGCACGCATTCACCGCGACTTTCCATAGGAATTACAAATCATATAGGATTCGTTAGGGTCTCCAGAGTTTTAAGGGGGAAAAATCCTATTTTAGTGGGGAAAGTGAGAAGGATTTAAAGCTGACAGGCTTTGATCTCAAGGTTTGTACCATATACATACCTGCTCTAGAAAGGGATATTACATTTCACTGTCTGCTCCTCTGGTAGAACATTGACTACAGGGAGAATTTTAGGAGGGAGAAACATAGGAAGGAATGAAAGTAAACTTGCAAGTTGAAGAAAGCCCCACAGAAATTCCCATGATCTGTTTCCTCTAAGGCCAACCTCGAAATCATCCTTTCTTTCGTCCCTCAGCAGCCAGGCCGCAGTGGCATCTGCAGCAGCAGCACTTGCCGGCTTTCTGAGGGGTGGCACTTATTGATGTGCCGGGTCAGCCCCGGAGAACTAAAAAAAGTGGACGGGCAGTGCTTGCACGAGAAAATTTGCTGGGCACTCCCGTCAGATGGCCCGCTAGGGCCCGGCGTTTCGGAAGGAGCCCCCGCCAGAGCGGGCAGGAGCAGCTCCTCGCGGACAGCATGCCACAGCCGGTGCTTCTCCCTGATATCTGCGGTAGGGAAGTGCGCTCCGCACAACGGGCAAGCGAAGGCAAGTGGGGCACCGCGTTCGGAGCCAAAGCCCGGCGCTAGCGCACGGACCGAGCCCGCCTCGTGAGTGCTCAGGTGCTTGCGCAGATAGGCTTGGCGACGAAACTTTTTGTGGCAATATGGGCACACGAAAATTTCGGATCCCCCGCCACCACTGGTACTGCCTGGCACAGGCACCCGGCGCCCGAACACCCCCTCCGTGTAGGGGCCCTGTGGCAGCGGTGGCTCTGGATGCGTCAGCACCTGGAGGCCCTGCCTCGGGGCGCTGTCCGGGTGCTGATCCGTCCCGGAGCTGTCCCTGGCCTGCGGGTGCTGATCCGCAGTCCGCTCTATCCGGCTGTTCTCCTTTCCCTCCTCCAGAAAAGATGCAATGGCCCCGGAGTCCCGGGAGGCCGAAGACGACGAAGAAGGCGGCTTCCCGTCGGCGGAGGAGACTGTGGCGGCGTTTGCAGCCGCGGGACGCGGCTTATGCCAGCGGCGATGGGAGGCCAGGTTCGCAGGACAGCTGAACACCTTGTCGCACTCAGGGCAACGGTACTCTACGCGCACGATGCGGGAGCAGCGGTGCTGGGCCAGCGCGAAGGGGTCTGCGTACTGTTCCTTGCACAGCTGGCAGATGAACTCGCCCAGCGGCGTGCGGCTGCCTCCCAAGCCCCGAGACGGCGCTCCGGGCTCCTCCTCCTTGATCTTCAGGCCCAGGACAGGGGATGTGGTCACCTCATCGGCAAAGCTCAACTTCCTCATGGCCTTTGGCTTCTTGATTCCCGTGGCTGCGGGTCCAGACGCGCAGCCCGTGGGTGCCTTGCCACGGCGCTCGCCGCCGGCCGCCCGTTTCAGACTCTGCAGGGCGGTCGAGAGGGGCACAGGGTCCGGCTGAAGCGCGGGCTCTGGGAACGGCGCCCGGAGCGGCAGCAGGAACTGCTCCCCCGAGGTCGGTGCGGCTGCTGGCGCCACGGAGCAGGAGAAAGCGGCCACGGCGGCGGCGCCCCCGGGGAAGGACTCGGCGGAGACGGGCGAGCTGAGGCAGCGCTCCAGGAACGCCCGACGCAGCTCTGCGCCGGCCGGCTTCGCTGGACTGGGGCTGGGGCCGGGGCTGCGGCTGGGCCCGGGACCTTCCCTGCCACCCGCCCGCCACTCCGCGCCTTCCCGCCCGCCCGCCCCCGGGCTCACCCCAGCCGCCCGACATGGCGACCCCGACAGTTCCCGGGCCGCCTCCTCCGTCAGCCCCTTTCCGGGTTCCTCCCGGGTGGGGGGGGCCGCCCGCTCCGTACCGGGCAAGGAGGCCCTGGGAGCCTCCTCCAAGAAGGGCGGCGCCCCCTGGGGCCCCAGCAGAGGGAAGACATGCTCCGCAAGGCGAACTCGGTACGAGCAGCCTGTCCGTTTAGTTCGCTTCACCAGGAAGCCCCTTGGCATGGTGGAGTCGAGAGCGCTCGGGGACAAGAGGAAAGGGGGCGCCACGGGGACTGAGAGCCGGACAGCAGATGAACTAGAAAAGCTTCGCCGCGGCTGTCATGCCGGGGCTCTCTTTATAGCTGAGACGCGGGCCGGGGTCCCGCCGGGCCGCCCCGGGCTGGTCCGGCCAATCAGGAGTAGGAGCGGGCGCCGGGGGCGGGGCTTTCTCTCGTCCCGACTCACGGAGCAGACGAATCTGGCGGCTGCGCCGGACGCCCAGCCCCGCCTCACAGCGCCGTGGACCTGCCCCTGCGGCCGGCTGGCTCCGCCTCCCGCTGCAGCCTTCCGGGCGAAGACGCCAGACGGGTAAGGTCCAGAGTGTGAGGGAGCTCGACACTCCCCTACTCGACCGCCTCCGCGGAGCGTCCCACTGGGGAGCCAGGCGAAAAGGCCACCTCACGACGCCCTCCGCTTGGGCCGGGACCCGGCTACCCCATACGCTAGGGCGTCTGGCTGAAAAGCTCCGGCCCTGCGCCGGACGGCCGAGCGGAAGGGGCAGTGGGCAGAGGGTGTGGCGCAGACCACTGGGTGGGTGTCCGCGAGGGAACCAGTGCACGTCCTTTGCGGGTATTGAGCTAATGAGAAGTGCGACCGAGCGGCCGAGCAGCTGACTCCACCGCCCTGTGGCTGCTCTTGGCGGCGGGAGCATGTCCGCCCGCCTGTATCGATCGGGCCCGCGCGCGGCGGCGACACTCGAGAGTTCATCTCCGCAGAAGGGCTCTCAGCGCGGGAGAGCGTGCCTGCCCGCCGCCAGCCTCCGAGTCGGGACGCCCGAGCGCGGCTGGGTCCTGGGCCTCCGCGCTCTTAAGTGCTTCTCCTCGATGGGAGCAGGAGTAGGGAGAGGAAAGGAGGATCTCATTTTCCACTGTCCTCACATAAAGTGGTTTCTCTGTTCACACTTTCCACTTGTACTACCCAGAGTATGACTTAATGCCTAACCGGCCTGTTTAGCATGGAGTAGATTGAGTGAGAAATGCCAGGGGAATCAGCATTACAGCTGCTTCCCCGTACACCACAAGTGATACTTTGCAAAAGGTGTGCTGTAGAGCAAACTCTACAGATTTTGATCTGGCATCCTGCAGTGCTCCCGCCACTATTTTGAGAACTAGAAGAGGTTTGAAAGTGTTTAGTAGTAATTGAACTAGGCAACAATTAGACCATCTATGACAGATGTAAAGTGCCAAGATCCATAATATAGATAAATAAAGTGTCAGAACAGGAAGGGGAACGAACTATGTGCTCAAGTCTCCTTACTAAACCAAATTGGAGAAAAAGACTGACAGAGGTGTTTTAAAAGTACACGATAGCATAACAGATGTAGTCATCAATAAAACACATTGTCTTTCTTCAGTGAATGAAGTATTTTTACAAGGAGAACATTATTTTGGGAAAGATTTGGAAGTAATTATATATTAATCATTGACTATGTTGTAGGCATTCTGCTTAAGTAATCTCTAATCTTCATACACACACACACACACACACACACACACACACACAACATGTACACACACAAACCAGAAAGGAGATATTATTACTCTCTTTTTTCAATGTGGTGATTGAGCCATTTGGTTAGATAATGGGTAAAAGCCAAGCAGAGCTCAGATTCAAACTTGTTCTGGCTAATTCCAAAGTTCAGACTCTTTCCTCTACACCAATGGCTTCAAACTCTATTTTTTCTTAATCACATCCCACAATAATAAATGTGTTTTATAGTATATACACACATGTAACTGAAACAAAAGTCTCACAAAATAATACTGTGGGTCCTAATCTGTTTGTTAATTATGAAATCATACATTGAAATGATTGCAGTGCATTCTCATATTTTTCATTCTATTGTGTTTTGTTTTTTAAAAATACCAGTCATAGAAAATACATTGATTTTGTAATTTACAAATGGATTAGGACCCACAATTTGAAAAACACTCATTATATTGTCTCTCATTAAATAGCATGAAATCATACAAAATTAAATAAACCTGATACTGTATAATCACAATTAATATCTGAACCACTGTTAAAATATTTGAGTCCTTTAGCAGTGTTGGTAAACTTAGTTTCCCAAACTGGTAATTTCTGACATGTCAGCTTATATATGACTTCTAACTCAAATTCTCAATTCTCCTTTCCTCCTCACAATCCATACATATTATGTGGTGTGGAAAAATCTGATGTAATAATTTTAATACTTTAAGATAACCCCTTTTCTAGAGAGAGAAGGGACTCTTCCCCAGAGGCATAGTACTTTGTAAGAATTGCTGTCAGATATTTTCTACCAGATCCAATAGTTCCAATAGCTCTCTCCTTCCCTTCCAAAGTATGATCTGATAACAACCTTTCTGGAAATCATTGTAACAATTTACATCAGAAGCTTTAAAAAGTATGTATACATTTAATCTGCCAATTCCTCCTTTAATAAGTCATCCAAAAGAAGAGTGAAGATTTATGCACAAAGCTGTTTATCACAGTATTATTTATAATTGTAAATAATCAGAAACCATCTTGAGTAAACTATGGTGTAGTCATGTTATAGATGATTATGTAGCTATAAAAATGTAATGATAGAGACAAACATATATACCATAACTAAGCAAAAACAGCAGGCAACAAAATTGCTTATACAATAAAGAGCTCGGTTACGAAAAAAACAAAATGCATAAGAAGTGGAAGGAAATATGCCAAAATGTTGTTGGGATTGCCTCTAGTAAGTAGGAATTGAAATAGTCTTTTTTTAACTTTTTTGTTAAAATATTTTGCAATAATCATATATTACTCTGATAATCAGAAAAAAAATTGCAAAACTGCCTTAAATCCTTTCTGGAGTTAAATGTGGTACCCTTCCCCTAGGATACTAGCACACTGCAACATCAAATGGAGAACTGTACAGATAAGTAGCATTCTCCAGGGCCATCTGTTTGAAATCTGGCCCTAGAAGAGAGGTGACAAGCCTCAATCATGCCACAGGCCTTCTAGTTGAAGAACACTTTTGGGAAAAGACTAAGGGTTAAAAGATAGAAAGGATTAAAATGTGAGGAAGAGGAATAATTTAAATGCATAATCCCCCCTTGGGTATAAACTTACATGATCCCTCAAGATACAAACACTCTTTCTGTAGTTTCTCACTTAAAAATTATGATAAATAGGGTGGTGCCAAAGCAAGATTATAAAATCTTTGTTTTATTTAATATCTACATCCTTTCTCTTCACAAAAACATTAAACATTCAAGACCTTTCTCTGCTCTCAGTTATACTTTGGTAAAAACTCATACACACTGGATTATCTCTCAAGCTGTTTACATTTTATGCTTTCTCTCTCTAATTGTGGGATACCTTTAATTTAAATTCAGAAATTTTGAGATAATATAAATCAGAACATTTTTTGAAGAGAGAGGAGACTTCTTCTTGCCCTGAAATCAGTGTGTATAAGACAGGCTCAGAGGAATAACCTCTTTTTATCACTTGAATATCTGGGAGATTAGTCAGAAGGAACTTTATTTCTTCTGTTTCTCTGCCCCTCACCTCCACTTAGACATGTCCCTGTAAAAGGTTAACACCAGCTGCAGCTACTAGAGGCCCATTGTCCCCAGGAACTTGAAAGTCAAACAGTCTCTCACAAATCTAAAACCAAACTCTTGATTTCCTCTCCTAAACTTAATCCCCATCTCAGTTTTCCTCATCCCAGTAAATGGCACCTTCATTCAATTAGCTGCCTCAGCCAAAACCCAAAGACTTTGGGTTAAAGCTAAACACCCCATATTCAATCCATTAGCAGTTCTTATCAGCTCTATCTTCAAAGCATTTCCTGAATCTGAATCTTCTCAAATTCTCTACCACCGTTACTCTATTTGGTCTCTTGCTTCCATCCTTGCTTCCTTATAGTGTATACTTTATTCAGCAGCAAGATGCATCCTATTAGAATATAAGTCTGATTCTTTCACTTACCTGTTCAGAATCTTCAAGTGGCTTCCCAACACATTTAGAATAAAATCCAAAGCTTTGCTTGGTCCCTGGATATTCTTAAACCACATCTTCCACTACTCTTTTCCTCGTTCAGTCTGCTCCATCTAAGTGGACTTCTTATTTTCCTTAAACATGACAAGCACACTTCCACCTCAAGGCTGTTTATTCTGCCAGAATGTTTTTTCTTCAGATATGCTCACATCTTGTTTCTTAACTTCATTTGTGGATCTTTACTCAAATAATACCACCTGAGAAAGATTTTCCCTGACCACCCAAACTAAAATAGCAGCCCTAACCCACCATACCCTTCATCATTTTCTTTTTTTTCTCTTCTGCCCGAAGGATACCTTCATCATTTTCTGTCCCTTTACTTTTTCTTCATAGCATTTATCACTATTTGCCACTATATTATGTATTTGTTAATTGTCTGTTGTCTCTATGAAATCCAGGATGGCAGGTTCTTTGTTTTGTTCTCAGCTTCGTTTTCATCTGGTATCTAGATCAATGCCTGACATATGTAAATGAATTGATGTCTAAAATCATGAGCTACCAGGTTCAAAAAAAAGCATCACAGCTTCTTGTTACTGAAACCCACAGGCCTGAAGCCCACCCTGCCTGAGTACAAAAGAAAGCATACAAAGTCGTAAGGAGTTCTAGATCCTAGGCATATGGGAATCTTAGTCCAGGCAAATGAAAGGAATAGGAAAGTCTTTCTTGTGCCATATGCCCTTGGAAGTCTTTTCTTCCCACCTCAGCCACTTGACCCATGGCTTAGATCACTGCCATTTTCTTCCTCTGAAGCCATTACCTATAGGGAAAATAAACCTCAATTCATGACAGGAGTCTCTTATTTTAAGCTGTTTAGTACCCAGGATACTAGAAGAATGGGAGCAGAAAGAAGCTGGTCAGCTACTTAGGAAAGACAAGACTGGCAAGAGAAAACTACATGTTTAGGAAACAAGGAATTTTAGGCAAAAATAAGATACACAGGATAGGATCCAGTTTATTGAGAAGTTCAATCTAGGACATTTAAAGGGAGGTTGTATAGGGTAGTTAGTTGAGGGCACAGGCTTTAAAGTGAGACAGTTTGA